CCCTGGGAGCCTCCTTCTTGGATTATCCCCCTGGGTTGTGCTTTTTTTCTGTGAGTGAGTGCCCTGAAGGTGAATTTTCCATATGTCTGTATACACCATGGGAATGTTTCATGCACACATGCACATGTGTGTCTCTGTGCGGCTTTGCCTACTCCATGTATATATCTGTGGACCTGTGCATGTACCTTCTTCTGTGGAAACGCGTGTGCACGCAGTGTCCATCCCTGGGCTTGTGTCTCTGGGACTGTCTCTCTGTGTATTTGTTCAGGGCCTTTGAGTTATGAAGTTATGGGTGGAGGGGGTCTTTTTCCCCCTTCTCTCAACCAATCTGAGCTGGCCAGGAAAGGGGAAGATGAAGAGTCAGCCACTTTTCCTCTCCAAGTCTTTTTGTCTTGGAAGGCAAGAGACAGCAGTCACCCAGGGACTCCTACATGGAATGCCTCTCTGGACCCCTCCTTGGGTTTTTGAGGTTGGTGTCTCTACACGGCAGTGGATTGCCCAACCTTCCTTCCAAGGAGTGGGTGGGTTTGAACTGCCAGCCTTCTGGTTAGCAGTCAAATCCCTTAGGCACTAGGCCACCAGAGCACCTATCTAGGAACTCTAGACCCCTCTCAACACCACCACCTCCCCTTCCGGCCTCCACCCAGGCAGAATGAGGCCTGGCAAGGGAAGGGTTACCTCCAGTGAGGTGGATGTAGGATGCACTTACGGAGAAGGAAGCCGCTTCAGTGCTTCTATGCACTGAGAGGATAGAGAGGAGATCTGCCACTACTACAACGAAGGAGACTGAGATTAGGCTCCAGGAAGGACTGAAAACCATTAGAATCGAGGAGAAGAGAGAGTGGGTAGATCATCACCTCCCTTGGAAACAAGAAGTCAGTGTGCACCTTCTCTGGTCTTTCCTCTCCACCCACTTTATAAATTTGGGAGGGAGTCCTTGATTTTCAGGGCCCCGTCTACACAGGTCTCAGCTACCCGGATAACATTCCATTGACTCTGGATACAATCCCAGAGGCAAGTTCAGGCATCCAAACTCAAATGAGGTTTAGAGCTGAGTAATCAGTGGCTATGGCTATGCAGACATTTTGCTGGGGATCAACCAGCTCCCCCACCCCCACCTCACACAGTGGATTTGGGGTAGGGGAGGGGTGGCCTGTCACTGGGTGTCTTTACATCCCCCTCCCACCACCACATTCTCCCTCTTCCCACCTGCAAGTAATTTGGCCAATGGGAGGGCAGTTAAGATTGCAATTTGGAATCCCTCTAGATCTGTGTGCGTTTGGTGAAGAGGGGGCTGCCTTCTGCCCCCTAGACCCCATGTGCCCTTTTCTCTCTTCACAGGAGCAAATTATTTGTAATTATCTCACATTGAGAACCTTCAGGAGCTACTTTCAAAATTGCTTTAATTGAATTAATTGAATCTCATTTTGTTGGGAGAGAAGATGGGGGGCATGTCTTAAAATAGCATTTAGGGAGAGGGAAGAGGAGTAATTCAGAGGGGAGGGGAGTGCCACACTGGCTTCTCCATGGCTGGGACCCTTGTAGATGGTAGAATGTGCCCTGGATTCCCTGTTCCCATCTTTCAGTCCCAGCTGACTTCAGATGCCTGGTGCTGCCGGCTCTTTTGCATTTAGGATCTTGTCATGCTCTCAAATGGAGATGACCAGCAAAGAGTTAAAGTTCTCCAATCTCCATCCCAATTCCCCCCTCCCACCCTCAGAAGGCAGGTCTGCCAGAGACAAGAAGTGATTGAATGGCAGAATGAACTTACCCTCACTGTGACCCCTCCCCTCCTGGATAATCATAACAGCATCTATAAATTCCATTTATTAAGTGCTTACCATGTTCCAGGCACTGTGTCAAGCATATACAAGAACTAAGGCATTTTATCATCATAGCCACATTGTGAAGCAGTTCCTGTTAGTATTTCCATGTTATGGTTGTGGGGAATGAGATTCAGAAAGGTTAGGTCACTTGCCCAAAATCACACAGCTAATAAGTGGCAGAGCTGGGACCCTTTGGAAGCCCAAGTCCTAGTTCCTTCCTTATCTAAGCCAATCTCCCTAGAAGGATGTCCTCATAAGACACCATAGGGCTCCCCTTCTATAGCCCAGTGTGCTTGAGAGAGGAAAAGGGGGCATCTCCTCCACTGGAGTTCCAGTCTCATCTCTGCCCATGAGCCCAGGGAAACTGGACCAGCTTCCTAGTGGAAAAGGGATTCTTGTTTCCATGGGAAAGGGTGGATTGAGGGGGGAGGCGGTGCTCCACTCAGCTGGCCTCTGGCTGGGAGGCTGGGAGAGCAATTACACTCCTGCTACTTAACTTTACAACCTGGGCTGTTGTTTTAACGATGTGACTTGTGTTGGGCTGTCCAATTAAGCCTTTGGAGGCTTTCCCGAGATGGGGTGGTAGATCTTATCTCCGGTCTGTGGAAAGAGGAGTGTGTAACCTGCAGTAGGAAGGAATGGCTGCCCTGAGGCCCAAGGCCTCAGAGCAGGCCTGGAGGAGGGATCTGGGGGCTAGAGGCGGGGTAAGCATCAGCAGGGGAGAGGGGATACTCTGCCACCCAGTCCTCCCTGTTGCTGGGTCTTGGTTTTGGCCCACCTTGTGTCATTTGCCATCCCCAAGAGAATCCTCCAAGTGTGTTGTGGGGAGTGCAGTCGACTAGAAGTGGGGGCCAAGGTGAGATTTATTGCTGTCTCTGGAAATGGGCGCTTCCCCTCAACTTTATCCTCTTTGCTCTATGTATGACCCAACTGGCCTCCTCTTTTATCAGCTAGAGTGGCTCCAACTACCTGACTAGGCTTTGCAGAGTGGGGTAGGTGCAAGTTTACAATGCCTGGGAACAGGTTCAGGCAGTAAGAAGGAAGCTCCATTTGGGAGCTTTTGCCTGGAATTGGACTTGGGCTGTGTCTTCATTCCCCCTTCAGCTTTCCTAATCCCCAGGGGCAGTGTGTGTGTGTGTGTGTGTGTGTGTGTGTATGTATGTGTGAGGGAGAGAGAGAGAGAGAGAAAGGGAGAGAGAAAGAGGGTGTGGTGGCCATGAATCTATCACTGGGTCCAGCTGCTCCCTGAGCTGCCCACCCCTCAGCCCAAGCTCAGTTAGAGCTTCTGCACTTCCTGGCACTTGACATTCAAGCATCTGGTTGGTCCTTTAGCTTCCCATTAGCCCATGAGCTCCCAAGGGCAAAGTTTGTCTAAGTCGCCTTGGTATCACCAAGATCCAATCCAATGCATAGAGCAGAGGCTCTGCACATTTGTTGAATGGAGGAGGAAAGTTCCAATTCCTTCTGGAGTTTTCCCTTTCCTCCTCCATTCCCCTGGGTGGGACCTAGCCATTCTACCTCTAAGCCAAATGGGCTGGTCTTCCTTCATTTCTCCCAGGATAGGATTTGCCTGGCTCAGTGAGCATGTCCTTTCCTCAAGGAATAGGGGCTCTCCCTGGGCTAAAAGTGGGGCACAGGGGGCTAAGAGAGACCTGGCTCCCTCGTGAACAAGGCCAGGAGATAATCTGCTGGTGAGAATCACTCAAATCTTGGTCATTCCCAGTGGAAGCACACCCCACCACACTGGAGCATATGAAACTATGGAAGTTATTAAAACATTCCAGAGCTAGAACCACAGAGCGAGCCAGTGAGCAGAGGCCAGAGGCCAAACTAGAATCCAGTTCCCCTAACTCCTAGTTCAGTGCTCCTCCTGGTAAGAGGCAGGTACAAGGAGGGAGGGAGAAGGGAGAGATTAGCAATCCCCACCACCACCCCTGAGAAGTCAGAGAACAAACACTCTTCACAGCCAGGGCCTAAGTTTTTGTATAAACTTTAATCTTTAGAAACTCAAGGTGTGGACTGTGAGAGTTTGGAGGATACTAATCAGATTGGCTTGAAGGCAGCAAACTGAAGCCCTCAGGCCCCAGGAACCTTTATAAATATGAGTAGTTTGTTCCTTTGGCCCAAGTTGTAAGGTGCTGAACTGCCAGGCCTACCCCCAGCTATCTGATGGTGTCTATACTGTCACTAATCTAGAGAGCCTGTCTGTCTCCACTTCCTCCAAAGTGTTACCTTACTGGGTTGCCAAGTATATATGCACATGGTTTTTTGTTGTGTGTGCTGTCAAGGCAATTCTGACTCAGAGTGGCCCTGTATGACAGAGTAGAACTGCTACATAGGGTTTCCTAGATTGTCATCTTTATAGGAGCAGATCACCAGGTCTTTTTTCTCATGGAGAGGCTGGTGGGTTCAAACCACCAACCTTTCCATTAACAGCCAAGCCCTTAACCATTGCATCACCAGGGCTCCTTTGTTAAGTCTCAGGCAGGGGGAATAGGAGGAAATAGGCTCTCGATAAATACGGTTGAATTGTCTACTCAAAATAGACATAGGAAAAGAGGGCTGTTTTAGGGGGAGAGCATAAATTACCCATAGGTCCATACATGCCACATTTCTCACATCCCTCCTTACTCACAGGATGATGAATAGGGTGTATCAGTTATGGGAGTGATGGGCTAAACCCCAAGAAAAAATGATGGATGGGACCCAATGCTGGTCAACTCAAGATTCTGGATGCTCACCTCAGCTTTTGCTCACAAATGGGTTGACCTTACTTAACTCTCATCCAACACCCCCAAAGCATATAAAGAGAAAAAATACTGAACGTTTCTTGCTGGTTTTGATCCCAGGGTATGGTGGGCTGCAGGGGGCTGGCAAGGCCCGGGGTCCTGGGACAGTCTAAACTCCAGCCAATGACTCTCTCCAGAGTCTTTGTCCAGTTGGAGGGAAGTTGCCCAGTCCATGGTGGTGGTTAAGGCTGAAGTCCTTGATTTAACTGTTTGGGTTAGGGGGTAAGAGGGCCAGGACTCCACCCCACCTCTTTTTCTCCTTTAGCTCCTTGTCTTCCCCAGAAAACTCATCTGGAGCTAGTTTCCTTCTAGTTCAGAAGAGGTGCAGGTGGGTTGGGTCCTGGGCTTTGTGGGAGACTGAGGAGCTGACCCACCCTTCCCAGACTCACATCATCTGAGGCGTAGCCAGGACATCTGGGGAGTGATGTTGATACCAGGCTCCAAAGCTGTTGCCATAGCCACTGGTGGGCAAGGCCCCTGCCTTGGGCAGATCCCACAGAGATAGAAGGGGTGGGGAGCAAGGAGACAGGGAGGAGGGTCCCCCAGAAAAGTCCTTCTCCTGCCCCCCAGAATTCTGCTTCAGGAGTTTCTTGTATTTGGAGCGCTTGTTCTGAAACCAGATCTTTACCTTTGGGGAGAAAAGGGGAAGAATGGACAGTCAGGCAGAATGTATGTGTGCAAGTGTGTGACGCAGGGAGCCAGCTGCCGAGAGCAGTCCTGGGAGGAGAGAGGAGATTGGGAGCATTGGCTCCAGTCCTCCATAGTCCCTAAAGTCCCCTGAGATGCCACCCCCGGGCTAGTATCCACTTCTCCCTATTTCATATACCCTCTCCTACCTGAATCCTCCCTCCCCCCGCCCCACAGCTTTTAACACATGCCTCCCAACACTAAGTGAGAGCCAGCTAGGAACACTCCACTGAAGAATCCTAACAACAAGGCCAGGGACTTAGCCATCACAGCTTTGGGCTGAGCCCCACTGAGAACCCAAGGCTAAGGTTAGAGAGCAGGAAGGATGGAACTGGCCTCACCTGGGTCTGAGTGAGGCCGAGCTGCGCGGCCAGCTGGGCCCTCTCGGGCAGCGCCAGATACTGCGTGTGCTGGAAACGCTGGTTCAGGTGCTGCAGCTGCAGGCTGGAATAAATGGTCCTTGGCTTGCGCAGCTTCTTAGCCGGGGCCTGTGGGCGCCGCTCCAAGGGCTCTGGGGATAGCTGTGGCTTCTCTGAGTCTGGGGGGCAGCACAAGACAGCAAGTAAGGGAGTTAGAGTGGTGGCAAGAGGGTAGGGTGGAAGGCAGATCCCTAGGCTCAGTTGTATCTTGTTTGCATGCGCGTCTCAGATGAATAGAAAGAGCACAAATGGCCCCTAGCTAGGCCCTTCTCTACATTATGCTCCACACTCAATGCAACCCCCATGTTCACTAGGCACCAGGTGATACAAGCCTTAGTGCTTGCCCTCAGGGAGCTCCCACTCTTGTAGGTGCTCTGGCCAGAGGAAGAAAGCACCAAAGGCCAGAATTTGGGTACCAGCGGTGCCTGCAGTGGGACGTCAGGGTTCAGGTGGCAAAGTCGTACCAGGTTAGGGTAGGGCAGGGCAAAAGGGCTCTGTCAAGGGCTGAGCTTAGGCCTAGAGATGACAGAGAAGGACATCCCAGGTGGAGGGAACTCCACAGCAATGCTCTGAGTCCCCGAGATAGTGTCAGTGGCAGCCTGTGGGCTGCAGGAAGAGGCGGGGGGTCAGAGAGGCCCGAATGAGGACAACTGACTGCCAGGATGAGAGTATTTGGCCCAGCATCCCAGTGGGGAAGGTCCTCAGGGTCTGCTATTGTCTTGACTATAGTATCAGGGCAGTCCCTCTCCTGAGGTGCACCCTGCAGAAGTGACCACCTCTCCCCTCCTTTCTGGCCAGCTGGCTCAGGAGGGACAGCTTTTAGGGACCTCAGAAGTACCCCCCTCTGTGGTAGCACTCATCGAGGGGTGGCAGGGAAGGTGACAGGGTTTGGAGAGTGTGCAGCATCTGGCAACACCAGCCTGGCTTCTCTGGAACTGCGCTGTGGTACCACTGCGGGAGATCTGGTCACCTCCTGCCAACCCAGCTTCTTAAGGAATTTCGGTTGGTTGGAAAACTTTCTCTGTCTCTCTCTCTCTCTCTCTCTCTCTCTCTCTCTCTCTCTCTCTCTCTCTGTGTGTGTGTGTGTGTGTGTGGTTTTTCCTCTACAGACCCAGGGATCACCAACCTGTGCCACTGGTGGATGAAACAGCAGTGCTCCTGGTCTTCTTAGGCAATGTTCGCTCCCTTTCCTGGGTTTGCCTAGCCTCACCCAGCCACAGAGCACAGAGAGTGCTGTGCCCCAGTACCCGGCTTCCCATGCGTCTGTCTGTGTCTCCCCTCACCCGTTTGCCCCTATCGGGCTCACACCACATACATCAGTTCCCTGTGCTTGGCTAGCCTGTCACCATCGTCCTCACCTCTCCCTGCATCCCTCACCCATGGCCTTGGGCGATGCAGGCTTCTCAGATCCACCCCTCTACCCTGGCCAATTCCCAGAAAGACGTTTGGTTTCCAATCAGCCAGTGCTTGCCAAGTCTCTCCATCTCAACCCCACTGCCCCAAGCCCTGGGCTGGAAGCCGACTGACCACCCCCACCTCCCTGGCTGTGTGGACCGAAGGACTGGGTGATGACAGGAAGCCCTGGCAGGCAGACCTGGCTCCAGAGCTCTCACAGGCCTCTGCTCTCCAACTTTCCAAGCAGACCCTCCCCCAAATTCCCTCCTTACAGCAGCCTTTCCCCATACTAGTTTCAACTACTGTCTGTCTGTCTGTCTCTCTCTCTCTCTCTCTCTCTCTCTCTATCTGTGTTTTTCGTTGGATCCGGGAAAGTCCCTTAGAAAAGGAATTCTCCTCTCTCTTGTCCTTCAACCAAGCAAAGGGAAGGCAAGGAGTGTGGAAGGCAGTTTGGCAAATGCCAATCCTATTTCCAACAATTCGCTTAAAGATAATGATTATTCCACAACCCCCCGCCAATATATTGTTCTAGCATATACTTAAAAGAGTCTGAGGGATTCATTTGTAGAAGCTAGATATGTAACCCCCAAACTACCCCTCACCCATGGACAGAGCCAGCAGTCTGGGAGAGGCGACCTCATTTCTGCCACAGAAGACAGTTACTGTTTGGGGGCTTTGAGGATTCCCTACAATCCTCTTTACTGGCCCCATACAGTGAAAGTCAACGTGCAAGGGCCTAAAGCCTGGAAAACAGGCTGTGTCCTGTTTGTCCATCTGTACATCGAGGCAGTGGAGCACCACGTCTCTATGGTCACTTCTAGCTCTGATGGTTTGAGTCGGGGCTGGTGGCTGGAGGCTGGAGGCTGGAGGCTGGGGTACCATGTGTAGGGGCAACAGGGGAGGGCATGGGAATGTATCTGTCCTGGGCTGACTCCGGCGGCAAAGTCACCTGGTGGATGTGCATCTACCCTAGAGGAGTCAACAGTGCCAGTGACAACTGTGGGGGCAGGGAGCACAGGGAACCTGGAGTCTCAGTGGAGGCAGCCCCGAAGGATATGCATGCCTGTGTCTACTTTATGTCTGCTTAGTTGTGCAAGTCTTCATTGAGGCCTTCCAGTGAGCATTTTTTCAGGAGCTCAGACTTGTTCCAGGTAATGGGAACTGGAGCCTAACCTATCCCAAAATCAAGGGGTGAGATGACAAGTACCGAGCCTTGCTGGAAAGGCAGGCAGGAGTCTCCGGGGGTGGCTGGGTGGGTGTAGGGAGAGGGCAGGGGGTGGCCTATGGTTTATAAGGCCTGCTTTTTGGGCTGGAAGGCAGAGGTAGCCAAGGTCTCCAATGAGGGCCTGCTGGCCCTGTCCTGTGGCTATATTCTTAGAACAATGGATAGGAGGGTCTGACCCTCTGATCCTGCCAGGCCAACTTCCAGCTCTGGTCTGGCAAGTTCGGTGGAGAGAGGGAGGGGATTGGGAGGAGAGAGGTCGCCTTGAATAAACCCACACATCTACTGTCCTCCAGCCGGGCCTGATTTCTGTTTATCAGGGTTTGGCTTGAGCACTGCTCTCTGAGACAAGGGGACTGCCTGCCGAAATGGGCAACAAGGGGAAGGGCGGGCGCAGACGAGGGGAAAATCCTGGGGAAGGGTCTAGCCCCCCACACCCACATCTGGATTGTTTCAGTTTTCCGTTACATGTAGGTACTACAGCCCTGCTGCTCCAGGAGGTGGGTAGTGAGCCCTCCCGCCCGCCAGGCTCCATACAACTGCAAATCGAAACCAGGTCGGTCTTGAAAGACCTAGCTCGACTAGCCCCCGCCCCTCCCCCCGTGTCTCCCGCCCCGTCTCTCTGCCCTCCCCACCCCCAGATCCCGTGGAATCTGACTAAGGCTTGAATCCCGCTAGCTGAGCCGGACCAGGCGGGGGCGAAGTTTAGGGGCGTACAGGAGCCAGCCCCTGGAGGTGGAAAGGGACACTGCGGCGGGACTTACCTGCCTCCCGCTCTCGTGGGTGCCCGGCGGGGCCGCCGAGGGGCTGAGGGGGCGCTGCAGCTTGCTGGCAAGGCAGGTAGGAGTCTCCGGGGGTCGCTGGGCTGGTGTAGGGATAGGGGAGGAGGTGGCCATAGGGCCCAGAGTAGGACAGATCGGGGGCGGCTGCGGTTGCTGAAGGCAGGCCAAGCGGGTAAGCAGCCACTACCGACGGGGCGGGGGCGAGGTCCGGGAAGATGGCTTTGGAGACGTCCCGGCCAAGGAGAGGGCAGGGCAAAGAGGTCATTGCGGCCAGGGCCCGGGCCGAAGAGCCTAGGCCATGGCCCAGCACGTCGTCCACTCCCTCCGCCAACTCTTCCAAGCGTCTGGTGTCGGGTCCGGACGAGCCCCCCAGTAGACCACCCCCACACTTAAGATCCTGGGGAAAGCGGCTGTGCCCCGCCTCCAGCAGAGACCTTGCTCCTGGAAAAGGGGTTCCAGGGGGTGCCCCCATGGCTTTTCCCCTCCCCCCTACACCCATGGGGGCCTCATCCTCTCTTGGGTTCGGTTCTAGGGATCAGACAGGGGCCCCGCCTACTTAGGCGCCCGGGATTGGCTCCCTCCCGCGGTGACCTCACGGAGGCCTGGAGCCCAGCCGCCCCCAGTGGGGAATTTCAGAACTGGGAGAGGGGAGCGGAAGGTGCACATGCCCCGGACCCGTCCATCTGGGGGTCTTCTCCGAGAGGGGTGCCGGAGTTGCAGGGTGCTTGGTGCAGCTGGGAACCTCGGCTCCAGCAGCAGACCCGCGAGGGAGTTGGCGGGGCTGGGAAGTTGGGCTAGTGGAGCAGCGCAGCGGCGGAGGCACGGCAGCTCCGGGCCGCGGGGAACCTGCGTTCGCGGTCTCCAGCTCTCGGGGGTCTGCAAGGCGGTTCTGGTCCCGCCGCCACCGACAGGCTGGGGAGTGGAGACCAAACCGTCAGCGCCCTCGACTTATTCAGCGCGTCGGAATGCTTAGCTGCCGAGCGCAGGCATTTGTTGGTAAACAGATGCCGGGCCGGG